GGCTGGAGTGCAGTGGTATGATCTCGGCTCACTGCAACCTCCATCTCCCGGGTTCAAGCAATTCTCCTGCCTCAGCCTCCCGAATAGCTGGGATTACAGGCTCACGCCATAGTAGAGACGGGGTTTCATCATGTTGGCCAGGCTGGTCTCAAACTCCTGACCTCGTGATCCTGATCTGCCCACCTCGGCCTCCCAAAGTGCTGGGATTACAGGCATGAGCCACCGCGCCCAGCCCCATTTTGGTTTCTAAATAAGATGGCTACAAAGATGAAAAGCTACACACCTCCCTCACATCTTGACCACAAGGAGATTCCCTGTGGTACCCAAGATCTTTACCCTAAAGCATTTCAGCTAAAGTTCACCAGGGCAATCCAAATTCATAGCTTATCTTCACAGGTCGGGGGACACAGGACAGAAATGAAAGTCATCCCTCTGCCCACTGAGACAAATGCGTATCTGATTGTTTCCTCTGCCCTATTATCTACATTGTCTTATGCAAAAATGCAGATTCACTAAGCCAGACAAAGGCATTAAATATTGAAACCACCAAAATAATCTTAAAAGAAAAGCATAGACTTGTCTCCCGGGTGCACTTCCTTAACTTTGGCAAATAAACCTCCTAAAATGATTGAGACTTGCCTCAGTCATTTTACTTGATTGACAAAGGTATAATTCATCTTTTTTTTTTTTTTTTTTTTTAGGTGGAGTCTCGGTCTGTTGCCCAGGCTGGAGTGCAGTGGCATGAACTCAGCTCACTGCAAGCTCTGCCTCCCTGGGTTCATGCCATTCTCCTGTCTCAGCCTCCCGAGTAACTGGGACTACAGGCGCCTGCCACCACACCCAGCTAATTTTTGTATTTTTAGTAGAGATGGGGTTTCACCAGGCTAGTCTCAAACTCCTGACCTTGTGATCTGCCTGCCTCAGCCTCCCAAAGTGCTGGGATTACAGGCGTGAGCCACCACGCCCGGCCAATTCATCCTTTTAAAGTGTACAATGCAGTGGGTTTTTTTTTTAAGAATCATTCAGACTTGTGCAAGCATCACCATTATGTAATTTTAGAAATTTTCACCACCCCAATATGAAACTCATTTGCAGTTACTCTCCATTTCTCCCTCTGCCTCCCCACCCTAGCAACTTCTAATCTACTTTCTTGCATTATATTATTATTATTATACTAATTTTTGAGACAGGGTCTGGAATGCAGACAGGCTGGAATGCAGTGGCATGATCACAGCTCACTGAAGCCTCGACCTCCATAACTCAAGCAATCCACCCACCTCAGCCTCCTGTGTAACTGGAACTATAGGTGTGCACCACCACCCCCAGCTGATTTTTGTATTTTTTTGGCATGATCACAGCTCACTGCAGCCTCAACCTCCAGGGCTCAAGCAGTCCTCCCACTTCAGTCTCCTGAGTAGCTGGAACTATAGGTGCGTGCCACCACACCCAGCTAATTTTTGTATTTTTTTTTTTGGAGGGGCATGGTTTCGTCATGTTGCCCAGGCTGGTCTCAAACTCCTGTGCTCAAGCAATCCACCCACCTTGGCCTCCCAAAGTGTTGGGATTACAGGCATGAGCCATGGCGCCCAGTCTGCATTATTATTATTATTATTATTATTATTATTATTTTGAGACATAGTTTCACTCTTGTTGCCCAGGCTGGAGTGCAATGGCGTGACCTCGGCTCATCACAACCTCCGCCTCCCAGGTCCCGGCTCAAGCAATTCTCCTGCCTCAGCCTCCCGAGTAGCTGGGATTACAGGCATGCACCTCCATACCCAGCTAATTTTTGTATTTTTAGTAGAGATGGGGTTTCACCATGTTGGCCAGGCTGGTCTTGAACTCCTGACCTCGTGATCATCCGCCTCAGCCTCCCAAAGTACTGGGATTACGGGCATGAACCACCGTGCCCAGAAACCTGCATTATTTTTAATGGCCAAAAATATAGAGTGAAATAGGCTCAGTGTTATTGAGCAATGTATCATGAGGGCATATTAATCAAATTATGGCATATTGATTGAATAAAATATTACATGGCTGTTTGAAATTACTACAATAAAGTCTTTATCAAGGTGAAATATATACAATATAAAGTATAAAACTTTTTAAAGATACAAAGTGGTTAGTATATTCTGGTTTGCATGTGGACAGTCTGGAAGAACTATATAAACATTTTAAATGGCCGTGTTAGGATAATGAGATGGTAGACTATCGGGAGAACCCGCTCCCGATGGTTATGTGGGTTCTTTTCTATTTCCTAAGTGTCTCAGCTGGTTTGAGAAATAAAGGGAAAGAGCACAAGAGAGAAATTTAAAGCTGGGTGTCTGGGGGAGATATCACATGTCAGCAGGATTCGTGATGTTCTCTGAGTCATAAAATCAGCAAGTTTTTATTAGCAGTTTTCAAAAGGGGAGGGAGTGCATGAATAGGGTGTGGGTCAGAGATCACATGCTTCACAAGGTAATAAAATATCACAAAGCAAATGGAGGCAGGGCGAGATCACAGGACCGCCAGATGGGGTGAAATTAAAATTGCTAATGAAGTTTCGGGCACACATTGTCATTGATAACATCTTATCAGAAAACAGGGTTTGAGAGCAGACAACCTGTCTGACCAAAATTTATTAGGCGGGAATTTCCTTGTCCTAATAAGCCTGGGAGTGCTACAGGAGACCGGGGCTTATCTCATCCATTCGGCTTCGACCATAAAAGACAGCACGCTTCCAAGGGGGCCGTTCATAGGCCTGCCCTTAGGGGCCCATTCTCTTTCTCAGGGATGTTCCTTGCTGAGAAAAAGAATTCAGCGATATTTCTCCTATTTGCTTTTGAAAGAGGAGATATATGGCTCTGTTCTGTCCGGCTCACTGGCAGCCAGTTCAAAGTTACCTCCTTTGTTCCCTGAACGTCGCTGTTATCCTGTTCTTTTTTCAAGATGCCCAGATTTCATATTGTTCAAACACACATGCTCTACAATTTGTGCAGTTGACACAATCATCACAGGGTCCTGAGGCAACATTCATCCTCCTCAGCTTACAAAGAAGATGACGGGATTAAGAGATTAAAGACAGGCATAGGAAATCACAAGGGTATTGACTGAGGAAGTGATAAGTGTCCATGAAATCTTCACAATTTATGTTCAGAGATTGCAGTAAAGACAGGTATAAGAATTATAAAAGTATTAATTTGAGGAACTAATAAATGTCCATGAAATCTTCACAATTTATATTCTTCTGCTGCGGCTTCAGCCGATCCCTCCATTCGGAGTCCCTGACTTCCCGCAACAGTAGATGATTATTTTTCTTTAGCTTTTAAATATTGTCATGTTTATTTTTTAACAAATTCAATTTTTAAAAACTTGATTTTACATTACTGGAATTGAGACTGTATGAACGGCACAGCCAGTCAGCAGTCTAGCCTCTCCAGTTGGGATCCAGTTCTTATCTATTGCACTCTCCTTCAGGCAACCAAGAGACTTAAGCTACAAAGGTCCAGCCTCTCCCAGACTCTCCCCTTACACCTCAGGCCCATACCCTTTGGCCCCGTGCGACTTAGCCTACACCTTCCCATCCCCACAACTCACTCCTTAACAAACCCCCCTTTCCTATCACACATACCAATGACCCTTGGCCAATTTCCTTCTATTCATATGTTAACTGTAGACTGAAGTCCTGATTCTAGCCGTACTTTCCCCTTATGAGCAGAACAGTGAGGAAACTGGCTGAAACAGAACAACAATCAGCCCCCTCTCACTTCCGTGCCTACTTTACATAGAGGCACACCTCATTTAGACTCCCACAGCCTTCCTGTTATGTCTCCGCTATCGATCTGGGGCTATGGGACAGAGAATCTTCAATATCCCACCAGTGCCCACATATATATACCAACCACTACAGACACAGTTATCCTTATTCTCATACTGTCTCTCTCTCTCACACACACACATATATACACACACACACCCTCTCTGCTATGCTCCCCCACCCCAGCTGTCCCTGGGAAGCCTAGATTGGATTTGTGCCCATGGTCTGCAGCTCCCCTCAGTCTGTCTGCTGGTCACCCTCTGAAGGAACGGGGCCCAGTCTTGTTCACCCTCTGGCTCAAGAACAAAGTATGATTCTACCCACCCTCTACCTCCAAGCACCTCCCCTACTCAGACTTAACTGCCTGACCCACAACTGAAAAGAATGGCTCCTGGATCTTCACAGGTGTAGTGAGGCCTGGTGAGAGGGGAGCCTTCTAGTTAGTGCCCTACCACGTGTCAGGACCATGTTAGTTCCAGGATTCAGAGATGATTAAAACTAATCACGCACCTTGAGAAACTCACAGTGGAAGGAAAATCAGTAAACAGAAAAATGCTACATAACCAGGTAAATGGTGGAACAGATTTAGGAAGGAACAGTGTGGATACACCGGAGCAGGCTCCAAAGCAGCATCACCTCGGAGGAGGATCTTGAAGACTCAGGAGTTAACTAGGTCAAGAAGTATACACACAAACACTTCTCACAGGTCTGCAGAAAACGGAGAGTCCACAAAAATAGCACTTGGGCAATGGAAGCGGGACACACCATTCCACGCCCACAGCATTGCTTCCTGTGTGCAATGCACTGTGCTGATCTACAGAGATTAAAGAAGCCGAGGTCTCTGCTTCCAGTCACTTGGGAGAGAGGCACAAGGTAAATTATCAAATAGAAGGCAAACTGCCCAGGGCTGTAATTAACATACAATATGCGCTGAGAGGGAAAGGTTAATGCTAACTCTGGTCCTAAGTACAAAGATCATTGGGAGTAAGGGGTGCACTCTCATTAGGGCACAGTAGGGGTGGGTGGAGAGAGTAAAAACCAGAACAAATCAAGGTGCAGCAGTTGGAAGTCAGCCTTAGGGAGAAAAGGGGCGGAGACTGACTGGGCCAGAACAGAGGGATTGGAAAAGAAAAAGAGGGTGGGGCCAGTGGGCTCCACCTACCCGCTCCGGCCCTTCCCCCCACCCCCACCCCATCTACTTTCTGCAGTCTGTGGAGACAGGTGAGCGACGAACTCCTGAGACAGGTGTGAGTGTGAGGGTCGGGAGGGTCATGGGATTGGGACCAAGGTGTGAGGAGGGAATCTGCAATTCCTTGCTACACAGAGCGCTGGCAACTTCTGACAGGCTGTTTTGGGGGTATGGGCTGCCTCGGGTTGTTGCTGTTACAAGGAAAAAGGGTTCCCCTGCCCACCGCCTCCCAGCCACTGGGCTAATTCCTGGCAGGAAACTTGCAAACTGAGTTTAACGAGTTAGGATCAGCAGAGGGTAGAGGAAGGCCCTGGCAGATGTGGGGTCTATCTAGAAGAGGACAGGAGTTATCAGGGCCTCTGGCCACTGTGCTGGGCCTTTGCCTGTACAATTGTTTCTCAAGCAGTCGTGTCCCTGTGGCTGTGGTGCGCCTGTGTGCACTTTCTCCCTCCACCTGGAGCATGGGCTGACACCGGAGGAAAGGAAAAGACAGAGTCAGACAGGGTAAGTGGGGGTCCCTCCCCTCTTCTCTAACACGGCTGGATTGAGGGTCTCTGGCTGGGGAGGTTGGGGGTAGAGATCCAGGAGCAATAACAGAGGAAGGGCAGGGCCTGCCCCATCACCTGAATTCCAGAGATGCCAATGTGCACTGAAGCCCCAGGCAAGGCGTGCCCAGGACTGGATCCTGGATGGTGGTGAGGGACAGAGCTGGAAGGGAGACTACAGGGAAGGATAAAGGAAAGAAGACAGAGCCATGACACAGTCAACTTACAGAATGGCTGGGAGTCAAGGCTCCTGGGCTGGTTTCCTGGCTATTCCACACATGCCAAGACCTAGAGAGAATTTCAGAGCTGGAGGGGACTCCACAGATTATTTGATTTGAGATTGAAGAACCTAGAAACCAAACAAGGAAATATCATATGGTTACTTTGGTATCTGACACAGCCATGACACCAATTGCTAGTGTAGACACAATAGCTGTGTGTCTTTTTGCAGGAGCCTGGGGAGGGGCCATGGTGCCAATGTACTTATTGGGGAGACTGGAGAAGCCGCTTCTCCTCCTGTGCTGCGCCTCCTTCCTACTGGGGCTGGCTTTGCTGGGCATAAAGACGGACATCACCCCTGTTGCTTATTTCTTTCTCACATTGGGTGGCTTCTTCTTGTTTGCCTATCTCCTGGTCCGGTTTCTGGAATGTGGGCTTCGGTCCCAGCTCCAATCAATGCAGACTGAGAGCCCAGGGCCCTCAGGCAGTGCACGGTGAGTTAAGGGGTGGGCATCAGGAGAGGAATACACCTTGGGCCCATCCTCCCTCCCTCTCTCCCTGTAGTCTCTGAGGCATAGAGTCTCTGGTTTCCTCTGTCACTGGCATCAGCGGGAGGAGGGGTCAGAGGCCAACACAGGATCTTTTGCCCGTAGCAGACAAAAAAAAGGGAAAAAGGGCTTCTTTCATGGAAGCCACCAATGGCCTTATTTCTCTTCCCTCAGGGACAATGAAGCCTTTGAAGTGCCAGCCTATGAAGAGGCCGTGGTGGGACTGGAATCCCAGAGCCGCCCCCAAGAGTTGGACCAACCACCCCCCTACAGCACTGCTGTGATACTCCCAGCACCTGAGGATGAACAACCTAGCCATCCAGAGGGGTCCAGGAGAGCCGGACTGGAACAGAGGCGAATGGCCTCAGAGACTATGGCCCAGGAAGGAAGCCCTGAAAGAGCTCCAATCAGCCTTCGGCTTCGGGGACCACGGGCTGTGTCCACTGCTCCTGATCTGCAGAGCTTGGGGGCACTCCCCAGATTAGAGCCCCTGACTCCACCCCCTGCCTATGATGTCTGCTTTGGTCAACCTGATGATGATAGTGTTTTTTGTGAAGACAACTGGGCACCCCCTTAAACGACTCTCCCAAGATTTCTCTTCTCTCCACACCAGACCTCGTTCATTTGACCAACATTTTCCAGTGCCTACTATGTGTCAGAAACAGTGTTTCTGGCTGAATATCATAAATGGGGACTTGGACCCTGAGGAAAGTCAGGCCACGGTAAGCCCTTCCCAGCTGAGATGTGGGTGGCATAATTTGAGTCTTCTGGCAACATTTGGTGACCTACCCCATATCCAATATTTCCAGCGTTAAATTGAGGATGAGGTAGGGAGGTGATCCAGAGAAGGTGGAGAAGGAAGACGTAACCTCTGAGTGACGGCTATTGCTTCTGTTCCAGGTGCTGTTCGAGCTGTTAGATCCCTTAGGCTTGCCAGCTTTGTGAGTTATTATTGGAAAATGAGGATTCCAAGAGTCAGAGGAGTTTGATAACGTGCACGAGGGTACACTGCTAGTAAATAACATTAACTCCTCATCCCAAAGCCTATTGTGTTTTCAACACAAGATAATAGGAAGCCAAGCCACGTGCATGTCTCCCAATCCCTGTCTAGGGACAGCTGCTGGTGCAGGGTGGAAGACTTCCTATAAACAGAATGGGGGACCAATTGTGTCTACAGAGGGGGTGGGCTGAGCATGGGCACGCATGTCCCCAGCCTCCTGGACGAGCAAACTCAGTCAACGCTCTGGTGATCCTTGCTCCGCATGGGTAGCAGTGTCTGTGCCTCTCCTGCCCAGGTGCTAGAGAGCAGTCCCCAGTGCAGGGTCCCCAATGTATTTGAAAACAGTGGAGTCAGTGGCCCTAGGTGGAGGGTGGGTATGAAGGCCAGAAAGAGTGAAACATGTGAGCTTTCTGGCCAGGAGATTCCCTCTTGAATCATCCATATGAAGCCCCGGGGCCACTTGCGAAGCGTCTCTAATAGCTTCTTCCTCACTCCTGCGCTCTGACCGCTAGACTTTCACCCCAGCCGCCGGTCCGGATTCCTGAGATCCCAATATTGAGCACCAGGTTTCCTGGAATTGTGTGCTGCGGCTGTGATGTAGGTTTCGGTCGCAGGAAGCTGCTAAACCATAGCTGACGCCCCCTCCTAAGCCAGCCTTCCTTCCCCGCGCGGGTATCTGTCCAGCACCTTGTCGCGCTCAGTCTCCTCCGCAGCCTGGCCCCAACCGTTCAACTTCAATAAAGCAAAACTCCAGCCACACAAGTCTCCGTGAAGTTATCGCCATAGGCCGGCCAGGGGGCGGGAGAGGTACCGGGGTGATTTCCGCGGGAATCGATAACCAATCGGATTCCCAGGCCGAACGGAGCACACCCGCCCGCACTCGCTCTTTCCCCGCCCTTTGCCCCGCCCCGCTCCTTCTCCTCCTTTTGTCTTTCCGCCGAGCTCCCCACTTCACCCCATTGGCCCGCGCGGCCGCCGCTAGAGCTCTGCGCCTGCGCACGCACCGGGCGGGAGGACGCGGTGGCCTGGCGTGGGGGCGCGGCAGGGCGCAGGCGCAGGCGCAATGTGTGTCCGCGTGTGGGGGAGGGATGTGGGCGAGGCGACGGCCCCCGGTTTGTTTGGGCTGTGGGCGGTGCACAGTGCAGAGCCCGGGAAAAGCGGGAAATGGCGGCGCCGAGCGCAGGGTCTTGGTCTACCTTCAAGCACAAGGAGCTGATGGCCGCTGACAGGGGACGCAGGTAAGTAAGGAACAGTCTTAGGGCTACTAAGGGAGGGTCCAGGGAAGGGGAACGTGGGCTCCAGGCGTGCGGCCCTGCAGCCCTGCAGCCCCCTCCCCTCGGAGCCCCGGAAAGCAGCCTTGTCCGCGCTTCCTGCCAAGGGTGGGAGGCCCCGCCGAGCAGTTCCGAGCCTGACTGCGCAGGGGCCCGCGGGCGGACCTCTTGGCCTTGTCCCTCGTGGGAGAAGACTGCCCTAGCCTCCCTTTGTTCAACCCACGAGGGTTCTAAATAAGGGGAGCTCCTTGCAGTCCTGCCCACTCTTGGCTTCTCTTGAAGATTCTTCATCCTTTCCTCTGGCTCCCTTATAAGGGAGACTATAAAAAGACTGTACTCTGCCCCCTTAAAAACCGCCGAGACCTTCTGCAGACGGTGCTCTGCCTGATGTGCATTTGATTTGTATCGACTGTATCATGATCTGCTTGGCTTTGCATACAATCACCAGATTTTCGAAGAAGTCAGTACAGGGTTTGGAAATTGAGTACTTTTGGCAGAACAGGGGGGTTCCTGTGGCTCCAAGTGTCCATGCCTCTGCCCCGGTCTTTCCATTTCATGGCAGGCATCACCCAGGAGAACATTGTAATGCCTCCCGCTCGAGACTGAAGATTAAGGTCTTCGCAAAGGGAACCTGCAGAAGGACACAGAATTAAGACGTAGGAACTCCCGTGGTGCCCTTCACCCCTCCTCCCCTTCCAGTTGTGTCCTGAAATTCTAAATGATTGGAAACTTTTGTAATGTTCACGTTTAAGACTCTCATACTACGGAGTAGAGGAAGGAGCGGGTGTGCAGTGTGGTTGATGCTTCAGATTAAAACTAAAGAGTTGATTGAAAATTCAAGTCTGGAACTCGAGAGAGTTAAGAACTGTAAGTCAGTAAGTTGCAAGTATGAGTGAGATTGTCTAGGGAAAGGGTCTTTGAAGGGGCGTCCCTAATGGAACATCAACATTAAGGGGAGGCCAAAGGCCCTCTAAAGAAAACAGGAATAGGGTAAGCAGAGAGAAGACTCCCAGGTGCTGTCATGGAAAAAGAGGAAGAGAACAATTTAAGGAGCGAATGCTACTGGTAAACTAATGGAAGAAATCTGCTGCACCATTGGTTGGTATCCCAGCTGCAGTGTTATATGTGATCGTTATTACTGCTTTGATGTATTCGAAAGTGATTCATTCTTAAATGGATTTTTTTATTTGTATAGCTTTTTTTCTTATAGCCGGTTTTTACTGAAAGTCTGGGGTAATGGAAATATGACAGTAAAAATAAGGAAAAATGGAGTTTCAGACTCACTTTTCCAAACCTCAGATTCATTGACTGCTTCCAACCCACTTTGTCTGCTTTAGGATCCCACCTGCTATCTTAGGTCTCTCAGTTCCTTCAGGATCCTGCTCTTCCCTCTTCTAACTGAAAATCTCTCACCCAATAACATCTCCAAGCCAAGTGCATCCATTCCATAGATGTGTGGTATTTCACTGATTGTAAGATACACATTTTTCCCCTCCCCCCTTTTTTTTTTTTTTTAGATGGAGTCTTTGCTCTGTCATCCAGGCTGGAGTGCAGTGGAATAATCTCAGCTCACTGCAACCTCCATCTCCCAGGTTCAAGCGATTCTCCTGCCTCAGCCTCCCCAGTAGCTAGGACTACAGGCATGCACCACTACACTCAGCTAATTTTTTGTATCTTTAGTAGAGACAGGGTTTCACCATGTTGGCCAGGCTGGTCTCAAACTCCTGACCTCTGGTGATCTATCCACCTCAGCCTCCCAAAGTACTGGGATTACAGGCATGAACCACCGTGCCCAGCCTCCCTTCCTGTTTTAACACCTTAGAAATCAGGATGCATTTTAGAGTAGGTTTTGAAGTTATAAACTGAAGTTACTATATCTTCACTGCTATCAGGTGCCGCCCTTCCTGTTGTCACATATTTGGAAAATGTGACTTGGCAGGCTAGAGAACTCTGGATTTATGTAAAGTAGACATGTAGATGACATATATTGGCAATAGGATTATTTTAGTTTATAAGCAGAAGCTGATCTCTTTGCAAGCCCGTGGCAAAATTAGCTGGAGGTGACAGCACGTGCCTGTAGTCCCAACTACTTGGGAGGCTGAAGCAGGAGGATCACTTGAGTCCAGGAGTTCTGGGCTGTAGAGTGCTGTGCCAGTCACGTGTCCACACTAAGTTCAGCATCAGTGTGGTGATGTCCTGGGAGCCAGGGTCCACCAGGTTGCCTAAGGAAGGGTGAACCAGCCCAAGTCAAAAGCTGGGCAAGTCAAAACTCCTGTGCTGCTCTGTAATGCGGTCATACCTGTGAAGAGCCGCTGCACTCCAGCCTGGGTGGCATAGTGAGACTCTGTCTGTTTTAAAGTAAATAGATAAGTACCTACCCACTGTGACTTTCTGTCATACTTCCTGCTTATCCACATCTTAACGGGATTCTGATAATTTCTAGTGCCATTTTGTCACTGGAACTTAAAGTTTTAAAAAAAATGTAATTATATGTTTATATCATTAGTGAAAGAGAGTTAGTGTCAGCCTCATTTATTTTCTGTTAAAGCCATTGGCTTGAGTTTTTGTCATAGTGTTGTTTTAGCCCTCATCCAAGATCATTATAAACTTCCATCACTTTCACCAGCTTAAATAATGTGAGATGATTTCTGAAATAGTTCTCTTAATTAAAATTGGTCTATCAGAGAAGTATTTCTTCTCATAAATATGTATGCTTGGGGATATTATTTTGCTTAAGATAGACATTTCCCTCCCCTAGTCAGACCATTCATCTCAGATGATCTCAGCTGAACATAAACCATAAGGAATTAGACATTATTTTCTTATGATCAATGTGTTACTGCTTAGTACGTCTTTGATTTAACCAGATTCAATAAATATGCATAATCTTCATTATTAGAAGTCTTATTCTTTTTCGTTCTTTCTATTCATGCCTCTTCCACTCCACTCTTCTGTGCCAAATTGTGTACTTGACAGCCTTTCCCTCTACCTTTTATCCGTAGGATATTGGGAGTGTGTGGCATGCATCCTCACCATCAGGAAACTCTAAAAAAGAACCGAGTGGTGCTAGCCAAACAGCTGTTGTTGAGTGAACTGTTAGAACATCTTCTGGAGAAGGACATCATCACCTTGGAAATGAGAGAGCTCATCCAGGTATCTGGAGGCAAAAGAGAGAAGATAAATTGATCATAGGGGTGGGAACAGAGCATGACAAAATATTAAAAGGATGTCGTATCTTTATCCTTTTTTTTTTTTTTGAGACAGAGTCTCTGCCACCCAGGCTGGAGTGCAATGGCGCGATCTTGGCTCACTGCAGCCTCTGCCTCCCAGGTTCACGTGATTCTCCTGCCTCAGCATCCCAAGTAGCTGGGACTACAGGCGGGTGCCACCACACCTGGCTAATTTTTTGTATTTTTAGTAGAGATGGGGTTTCACTGTGTTAGCCAGGATGGTGTCAATCTCCTGACCTCATGATCCACCTGCTTCGGCTTCCCAAAGTGCTGGGATTACAGGTGTGAGCCACCACACCCAGCTGGATGTTGTACGTTTCTAAAGAAATGGAAGTGCCCTTCTACCATAGAGCATTTGACAGAAATGATATAAATTCAAGAATAACAGGAAGGACTTCACCTAAACATATCTTTTCCTGTAAAAAGAATTATTGAGAGGAATGAGGACACTACTAGGAAGCTCATGTGGAGAAATAGAATTATAGGTAGAAAAGTAAATATGATTCCATGTTTTATTCTTGTGTCTTAGGCCAAAGTGGGCAGTTTCAGCCAGAACGTGGAACTCCTCAACTTGCTGCCTAAGAGGGGTCCCCAAGCTTTTGATGCCTTCTGTGAAGCACTGAGGGAGACCAAGCAAGGCCACCTGGAGGATATGTTGCTCACCACCCTTTCCGGGCTTCAGCATGTACTCCCACCGGTATGAAGCTTTAGTCATATGGGGTGTTGGGAAGGAAAGTTTGACTGGAAAGCAATTTGTAAGTCAGAGTGAGGGAGACTAGATTTTGTTGTATTTGGAGCGGACCACCTCCCTAAGGTCTGTCATCATGAGTTTTGATTTCTTACAGTTGAGCTGTGACTACGACTTGAGTCTCCCTTTCCCGGTGTGTGAGTCCTGTCCACTTCACAAGAAGGTCCGCCTGTCGACAGGTGAGAATTGATGGACTAAAAGGGGTCCCAGGCCAGGCGTGGTGGCTCACGCCTGTAATCCCAGCACTTTGGGAGACCGAGGCAGGTGGATCACCTGAGGTCAGGAGTTCAAGACCAGCCTGGCCAACATGGTGAAACCCCGTCTCTACTAAAAATATAAAAACTAGCTGGGCATGGTGGTGGGTGCCTGTAATCCCGGCTACTCGGGAGGCTGAGGCAGGAGAATTGCTTGAACCCAGGAGATGGAGGTTGCAGTGAGCCAACACAATGCCACCACACTCCAGCCTTGGCGACAGAGTGAGAGTCAGTCTCAAAAAAAAAAAGGAGGGTGGTGTCCCAGATCCCAGTTTGACTTCTTTCTTGTCTGGTATCTGGCTTTGCCCTAACATGAGCCTTTTTTTTTTTTTTTTTTTTTTAAAAGAAATAGAGTCTTGTTCTGTCACCCAGGCTGGAATGCAGTGGCACCATCATAGCTCACTGCAGCCTCGAACTCCTGGGTTGAAGAGCTCCTCCTGCCTCAACCTCCCAAGTACCTGGGATTACAGGTGCATGCCGCCACACCTAGTTCCTTTTTAAATCTTTTGTAGAGAAGGAGTCTCACTTTGTTACCCAGGCTGGTGTCAAAGTCCTGGCCTCAAGTGATCCTCCTGCCTTGGCCTCCCAGAGTGCTGGGATTATAGGCATAAGCCACCACGCCCAGCTGAGACATACTTTATACTGGGAACAGTTGTCAGTGAATTTGTTAAGGGCTAGTAGGACAGTTTAGGCAGGAGGTTGTTTTTGTTTTTTTGTTTTTTGTTTTTTTTCCCCCTCTTGTGATGGAGTCTTGCTCTGTCACCCAGGCTGGAGTGCAATGACGCGATCTCGGCTCACTGCAAACTCTGCCTCCTGGGTTCAAGCGATTCTCCTGCCTCAGCCTCCTGAGTAGCTGGGATTACAGGTACATGCCACCATGCCCAGCTAATTTTTTGTATTTTTAGTAGAGACGGGGTTTCACCGTTTCCTGACCTCGTGATCTGCCTGCCTCGGCCTCCCAAAGTGTTGGGATTACAGGCGTGAGTCACCGCCTAGGCAGGGTATTATAAATAGGTGGTCCCATATCCTTTCCACCCCAGATAACAGTTTTTATGATAACTGGCCCTTTGAGTAGCATGTATATAGGCAGGAAGTTCATGCTCAATTGGCCTTTATAAAGCTGAAAGAGAAAAGACTACATTTGGGGCCACCAGCCTGCTGATGGAGCAGCCTAGTGATTGGAGCAAGACTTTTACCAGCTAGCCCATTTAGTCATTCAGCCAGTTGAGCATCTGCTACATGCAAGCTATGTGCAGAGAATCCTTTAGTGAGCTAAAACTAAGAGTCTCTGCCCTCATGAGGCCTACAGGTTTGGGGAGTGAGTGAGACCAATATTTATCAAAACCTGGTTCCAAGAGATGTCTGAAGTTAGAATGACATATTAAGATTGATGGTTAAGTTAAATACTAGTGTTTTGGTTTTCTGTCTATACCACAGATACTGTGGAACACTCCCTAGACAATAAAGATGGTCCTGTCTGCCTTCAGGTGAAGCCTTGCACTCCTGAATTTTATCAGACACACTTCCAGCTGGTGAGTTTTTGCATAATGACAAGAGGAAGAGAGTTGGGAAATTAGACACCCTTCCTGGGAACCTGAACTTAGTTTGCATGTACATTTCCTTTCTGCCTTATTAGTCAGAAAGTTGTTACTGGCTAAATGCCTTATGTGAGCATTTGTCTATTTTTACCTGCTGGGGGTTAAGAAGAAAACTACGATGTTTTTGTTTTCTTGAAATGTCTAATCTAGCCGGGGAATCTTGTGTCATCGAGATGCTCATCCTCTAACTGGCCTCTCCTCCCCAGGCTTATAGGTTGCAGTCTCGGCCTCGTGGCCTAGCACTGGTGTTGAGCAATGTGCACTTCACTGGAGAGAAAGAACTGGAATTTCGCTCTGGAGGGGATGTGGACCACAGTACTCTAGTCACCCTCTTCAAGCTTTTGGGCTATGACGTCCATGTTCTGCGTGACCAGACTGCACAGGTACCCGAGGCAGGAAAAATTGATTAAATTAATCAATTAATAACGATAAATTAGAGGACTGAACAACACTTTGGGACCAGAGACATCTTTTGCTCTTGTGCCTGCTGGGATATATCTTAAAAGTTGGTCTACTCTACTTACATTTTTATTCACTCTGTTCTGCCTCTCATCTTGCAATCTAGTAGAAAGAATTAGGGCCAGCCAGCCATTTTAGTGTTGACATCTCAGGTTGTGGTTTCATAAAGTAATAATAGTCCACAGTTGGGTTCTCACTTTTTTTTTTTTTTAAGACAGAGTCTAGCTCTGTCACCCAGGCTGGAGTGCAATGGCATGATCTCGGCTCACTGCAACCTCTACCTCCCAGGTTCAAGTGATTCTCCTGCCTCAGCTTCCTGTGTAGCTGGAACTGCAGGCGCGCACCACCATGCCCGGCTAATTGTTGTATTTTTAGTAGAGACAGGGTTTTGCCATGTTGGCCAGGCTGGTCTGGAACTTCTGACCTCAGGTGATCCGCCCCCATCTGCCTCCCAAAGTGCTGGGATTATAGGTGTGAGCCACTGCTCCTGGCTGGGAAGTATTCTTAATAGTTATGTAACCACAAGTCATATCATAGGGTGGATTGTTTTTGGACCAGATTGCTAGAAATTGTGAGCATTTTCATTATGGGCTGTTCCTCATTAACCTCAGTTACTGTACTGCACAACTGACTTTGTGACCTTTAGGGTTTCTATTTTGCAATCAGTAATGGCCTATTTGTAGATTCATATTCACTCTTTATTTTTATTCCAGAATAATAGAACTTTCTTAAACTTGCTTTGAGGTTGTCAGTGGTGAAATTAAAATTTCTAGGAGATTCACTTTGATCTGTTGGGATAGAGGATCTTTGTTTTCCATTCAGCATTGTCTGTAGTCTTCATATCTCTTTCTCAGCTACCCTCCTGTGAGAATAATTATGTATTTACTATGTTTTTGGCAAGGCTGGTTTCATCCACAGGTACCTGGGTGTTGTCCTTTACATGCTGTTTTTACCAGTTTCCCCATTGTAGCACATGCAATGTAGTTAAATCCACCCTTGCTTTAAAGCCACGGCAGGAACAGCTGCTTCAGTCCTCAAGTATTCGGGTAGTTTATATGCTTTCCTGAGAAGTCTGCTGGGCATAAAGAGACAAAGGGCAGATACCATCCGTAATTCCTACAGAAGGTCACTTAACAAAATGTGCGCTGTGTGTGTTTTCTTAGAGGTTTTGGTCTAGCCATTTATTTTACTAGAAATCTATTATGTCTTGGTTTTTCAACTTGTATGCAGCTGTTAAAGGATCCTAGATGTCTAATAATTAAAGGTGCAATACTGAGCCACTAAGTCAGCTATATACTGCTGTTTTTTCAGAGACCGTCAGTAGATTTGGTGAGTTGATGAGCCCACTTTCTAAATACCATTTCCGTTTATGCTAAGCCTGATGCATATTCAGTGACCTATTGGATTCTAATTCTTTGGTCAAATTGCTCTATAACTGGAATTGAGTAGAGTTGAACTTCGAGCACCTTATGATGGGGGACTATGTGAGCTGCCACAGATTTGTTTAAAGATCAGATGAGGGAGTTTTGACATCAGCAGAAAAGGAAATGTGTCCTCTTATATTCCTAAGGACTAAACAAGATTAGAGAAAGTATCTTCTGTCATAGCTAAGAAGAAATGCCTAGGTAGATATGATCAGAAGGATAAATGGAGGAGGCAGGACTTAAGCTGGCCTTGAAGGATAGAAGTTACTAAAGCAGAGAGGAGTGGTGAAGCCACCCTAGGCAGGGAGAACAGTATGTGGACAAGAAATGTGTGTGTTATAAACCAGGTAGTTGCAATGGGTGTCATAATTTGGTGCACTGGGCATCGCACAGAATACTCTCTTCCTGGTGGGATCTCGCTAGAGACTCAGCTCATTTATCATATAGCTGTTTGGCAAGCAAAGAAACAGAACCAAAAAAAATAAGATCCTCTTTTCTTTTTCTTATCAAATCTTTTTTACTTGAGAGAGGAATTCCATTTAAAAACAGGAAATAGTAGAATTAGTCTTAGAGACTCCTCTTCCCCGACAGTGCTGCAATGAGCATGGGCATTCTCCCTGCCCTAATTTTTTCACTTTTCTCTGTTACCAACTTTTGATTGCATCTACTTCATGAAGTTACTAGTTCTAGAATTATGATTGACCCTATGTTAGGAAACGAGGTACTCTTCAAAGTAGAAATTTTCTTTTACCACGTGTATTGTTTTTTTTTTTTTAAGCTTGCATTTGGGTCACAGACCGCTTTGAAAATGTAGGGACAAGCTATAGGTCATCCCTGGAAAATGCAGCTGCCCATAGAATTTAGCATATAATTTCAGAGGGTTCACAAGTTACTCTCTTCACATGTCCCCCAACCCCTAGCTAAAAATACACTTAGGAGTTAAGAACCCTGCTATTTATAGAAGTACTGTAATTTTATCAAAAACAAATCTGCAGATCCTATTTTAAGCTATTCTACTTGTGGAAAAATTCCTCCAAATGTCTAATCCCCATTTATTGAATGGTTGAGTCTTACTAAGTTTGGTTACAAAGTGCGTGTATTCTGTTTTTGGACATTGTTTTCTATTTACTGACCTAATCTCACTAAATGCAAAATGGTCGTGATTCAGTGCCCAGGTGTATAATTTTTGTTTTCTTCTTTGAGCAAAATTAACTTTTTTAACTATTCAATGTTAAAATTCTATTAGCGTCAGCTCCAGAGGAACATTCACAGTTATGTATTCTCTTGAAATTATATTTTCTTGGAAGAATTTTTTTGATTATCTGTCATTACCTTAAGAGATCTATTATTATTGTTGGCTTCTACTTAGAAAATACACATACTTTTCAACACCAATCTATTTCTAGTTATATTGGAGACTTTCAAATATTTTATATAATTGCATCTCGATTATCTACAAACAGAAGTATTCCGAACAGATAAATTAGTAGCTCTCAAACTTTAACATATCAGAGCCTCCCGGAGGACTTGTTAAAACACATTTTGCTGGGGCCTAAGATTTCACTTTTTTTTGAGACAGAGTCTCGCTCTGTCTCCCAGGCTGGAGCTCAATGGCCCGATCTCGGCGGCTCACTACAACCTCCGCCTCCCGGGTTCAAGCGATTCTCCTGCCTCAGCCTCCTGAGTAGCTGGGACTACAGGCGTCCGCCACCACCCCCGGCTAATTTTTGTATTTTTAGTAGAGACAGGGTTTCACCATATTGGCCAGGCTGGTCTCGAACTCCTGACCTTGTGATCCGCCTGCCTCGGCCTCCTCAAAGTGTTGGGATTACAGGCGTGAGCCACCGCGCCCAGCCCAATTTCACGTTTTTTACAAGTTCCTGGGTGATGCTGCTCTTGCTGCTTTAGGGGCCACACTTTGAGAGCTACTGCAGTGCGTTATAGAAGTGTGCTTTTTATTTTGGCAGTGTGTGTGATTAAATATATGTGTTTTAATTCTTCCACCCAGATAGTTTATTTTCATTACAATTTTATTCAAGTTTATAATCAAATGAACTTGTTTTCTCTCTGCCCCATCTCAGATAGAAGACCCAGACATCGTGAATTATAGAGGGAGGCATAGGTTTAGGCATAGGTTTAAAAATGTGTGCCCAATTATTATGCTCTTTAGGTACACAATACAACTTTCTGACGGATGGACCAGATGCTTAAGGTAGTGGTCTTCATGTATCACAACTTAGTGCAAGATAAACAAGATTCTCCGGGCATGGTGGCACATTCCTATTGTCCCAGCTACTCTAGAGGCTTAGGCAGGAAGATTCCTTGAGCCCAGGAGTTCTAGGCTGTAGTGTGCTATGCTGATCAGGTGTCCAAACTAAGTTCATCATCAATATGGTGACCTCCTGGGAGTGGGGGACCACCGGCTTGCCCAAAGAGGGGTGTACCAGCCCAGGTCAGAAATGGAGCAGGTGAAAACTCCTGTACTGATAAGTAGTGATCTTGCACCTGTGAATAGCCAGTATGCTCAAGCCCGGGCAACATAGCGATATCCTGTCTTTAAAAAAAATAAATAAATAAACAGGAACAGAGAGTTCTTAAGTTGAACTACAATATTGACCAGTAATAGATTTCTTTGAGAAAAATACTCTTTATTAGATGTGTACATTGTAATAACAGCAGATTTTTTGCAATGTGTCCCAGACACAGCGATTGGTTTTTGGGTTTTTTTGGTTGTTTTTTTTTTGAGACAGGGTGTCTCTCTGTCACCCAAGCTACAGTGCAGTGGTGCAATCACGGCTCACCGCAGCCTCGACTTCCTAGGCTCACGTGATCCCTCCACCATAGCCTTTAGGATAGGTGGGACTACAAGCATGCACCACCATGCCTGGCTAATTTTTTTTTTTTAATGGAGTCTTGCTAGGTTGCCCAGGCCAAGTCCTTTATCATAATATCTCATTTTAATCTTCACAAACTTAAGAGAAAATGTCCTCATAATTTTTTTTTATAAAGTGAAAATTGGAGTCTCAAGGGTCTGAGTAAGTTGTTCCGACTCATGAAGCCAAGGTTCAAACCTAGATCAATCTGACCCTAGGGCCTGTGTATGTAATTACTGCCCTGTATAGAATCCTCCTTTATAGCACGCTCTTGCTGAAACAAAGCGTTTTATACAGACATCATCACTGTCTCTCGAATACTTAGAATCTTAGAAGACAACATTACAAGTATTGCTATTCTCTACTATCATGATGCTGTCACAGAACAGTTTATTGTAGCTGAATATGCATATTTACATATTCATAGCTACACTTTGAGTCACGCTTATGCCGTTTATATACAAGGGCAGTTGCTCTAATGAAGGATCTGGTTATGAACAGGGCATTAATCAGAGTTGACCAACTCATGATTAGCTTCTTTAGTAACTTGTTTTAATCCAGGAGCTCTTTGCCTGTCTCAGTACGTCTGAATCTGTATTCAGAATATTGTGTCTGAACTCACATGCGTTTTTCTGGTGAGTCCATAGCTTTCTTCAGTCTCTCCAAAGGTCTCTTCTTTTATCATTGACCACAGGAATATACAGAAAGCATTTTATCTTCTAATAGCTTAGGGTTTCAAAAAGAAACCAAAGTGTGATGCTTATATTGGTGCTGACTCTAGTGCACAACACTAAACACTCCTTTCTTTTAGGAAATGCAAGAGAAACTCCAGAATTTTGCGCGGTTACCTGCACACCGAGTTACGGACTCCTGCATCGTAGCACTCCTCTCGCATGGTGTGGAGGGCGCCATCTATGGTGTGGATGGGAAACTGCTCCAGGTGCGGATACCATGGTGGAAGCCAGCTGTTGAAACCAGGCTGCTTCACCTCCTGCCTGCCGTCTGTCCCATGATGGCGACTGTTGCATGTATAGGAATTCAGGAGGCCCCACCCAATGCTTAACCTCCCTTCTTCCTTGTTTCTTTCTGGCAGCTACAAGAGGTTTTTCGACTCTTTGACAACGCCAACTGCCCAAGCCTACAGAACAAACCGAAAATGTTCTTCATCCAGGCCTGCCGTGGAGGTGAGTGCCCTGGCAGACCAGCACCTGGGTGGTGGCTCCTGGGCGGCCTCCCACCAGCTCTCACTTTCCTGTTTGCTCCTCTCAGGTGCTATTGGATCCCTTGGGCACCTCCTTCTGTTCACTGCTGCCACCGCCTCTCTTGCTCTGTAAGTGTCTCCCAATGCATGGGGTGTGCTGGGACTTGGGCAGCCCATGGCTCTCAGGCTGGTCAGCTCTCCGTGCACCACCATATCCTGTTCTCAGGACTCTTTTATCAGTGTCTTTGCTTTCCTTTCTGAGAACTCTTACTCTTCTCTGCTTTATTAACGCCGGTGCCCTTTTTTTGGTTACTCATTCCAGTTACGGATTTCTGATCTGTCTTTTCCCCGTCCTTCTTATTTTATCTCCTTTCTTTCACTCTTTCTCCTTTTCACTTGTTCCATATACTTCACTTTTACCTACACTTCGCTCTTGCCTCCTTTCTTCTTACCATTCATGGGTCATGCAGGATAGCAGAACAGAATCCGTGTTGGCCTTTGACTCTTCCTTTTCCATGAGCGGCTGCTGCCCCTCTTTTCTCATGCAGTTTGTTTTACTCCTTTAAGAGCCAGGACTGCAGGACGAGGATTAAAAGACACATAGGCATGCTTCTCATCCTGGAGGAAAATAATAGTAATTACGAGCCCTAACTTTGGAGTCAAATTCTGACTTCACCATTTACTAGTTACGTGAAGTTAAGTTAAGTGGCATCCCTCCATCTCAGTTTGCTCAATATAAAATGAAAATAGTCCTTGTACCTACTTCATAAGGTGCTTGTGATGGTTAAATGAGATTATGCATTTAAGGGCTTACATAGCTCGGTACCTGGCTCACAGCACATCCACAAAATATGCCAGCTATAACTCTTAAAACACGATCAGTGCCATAAAGGGCTTATAGTTTGCTTCAAAGGTCGCTTTGTCCAAACATTCAAATAATTACTGTTTTAATCTCTCGTGTGGCCAAATGTAAATAGCTAATACTATTGTCATCCTGATCTGATATTACTGCAGAATATAGTCTGTTGAGATCCTGCAGCATGACTCAGACTACAGCAGTTACTGCCCCAAAAGCAGAAGGAAATGTGGCCTCTCTAAGGAGCAGACCAGTTACTCAGGAAAATAAAGTAAATATGCATGAAGTAGCTTAAGACTAGTTCACAGGCCTCATGTAAGCAAGGGTGAAATTAGCAAGGTACAAACCATACTTAGAAAGGAGTATGCAGTAAGAGTAGATCATTTTAAGTGAGGGTAGTTTAAAGAGATTTTGTGGATAGGATACGGCTTCATTGGTACCTGGAGTAATTTGATTTACATAGTTGTAGAGTAGTATCTAGAGTCTGTCGTGGGAAGGAAACAATACAACATGATAAGCACACTGAGATTCAAAGGGCATGTTGTGCCTCCCCTCCTCCCAAACCAATGCTCGGATCTGATTTTAAAACAGCATCTGTGTGAGTATGTGAGATGTGGCTGGTCATAACAAAGTAGGTTCAGCTCATTTCAAACCTTTAGTCATAACTGAGATTTTGGACATCAGCTGGTGAAAGTAGGAACAGTTGGGAGCTTAAGTAAGAAATAATGTGATGAATTTTTTTTCCAGGAAGGTTGCCGTGGAGGGGGCTGCACTAAGGAAAGAGGTTATGGGGCACAAACTTCACTTTTCATTCCCTGCTCTATCCCCAGGCCCAGGGCCCTGCCTGACGCATGGTAGCACTTATAAATGTCGAATGAATGGATGAAAATTAATCTGCCTGAAAAACTGTAGGTATTACGTAAAAAACAAATATGAGAATATAGTGACAAAAGAACCAATGGCATTTATTGATTGATGGATCTGTGATATAAAGGTGAGAGAGGAATTCTCCTTTCTCTTTAGCTTAGCCTGTTTCCTTTAGGCGTCTTTACTAACAAAATGACAGTTAAATGGTCATTTTCTCCTCCTATATCCAGGGATTTAATACCCTATTGGATCTGGATAAGGAGTAATTGCTCTTTCCTGGAGTAATCTGAATTTTTGACTCTGTCTCTCTAACTTTTGTGAAATTAAATCCTTCAAGGAATGACCAGTAGCCAATTGTTCCTTTGAAAATTTGAGTTCACTTGTCTTCCTGCTGTATTTGGTTAATATAATTAATGTCTATAAAAAGCTCCACCCCCCTGCCCCAGTCAGCTTCTAAACTAGAGTGTAAGCTCTATGATGGCAGGAATTTTCTCTTCACTTTATCCCTAGGCCTTAAAGTAAGACAGTGCCCAACACATGGCAGTTGCTTGACAATTTTTATTAAGTCTGTGCTTTGGTCCTTTTCCCCCCCAATTCTTAAAGCTTCCCATCTTTCTTAAGCTCCTTCATGTTGCGTGGATCAGGAAGTACTGTAATAGAGCATACTCTTACTTTTTATGTGTTGACCTGAGAGTCCTCCCTATCTGTCTTTCCTACTGACAGCACCCCTGCCCACACCCAAAATAAAACAACATCATCAAAAATAAGAGTCTGTCTTGGGATACATAAGGCCTGTATCAAGAGCAAGGATCTGCTCAGGGTATGTTGAGAAAGTACTGCTGAAGTTGAATATGGATGATCTTTTTAAATTTTCTGGGAGAACATAGTCAAATTCTCCCCATTTTAAGTTTTTCCCTCTTAAAATTTTCATAAGGCCAGGTGTGGTGGCTCATGCCTGTAATCCCAACACTTTGGGAGGCCAAGGCAGAAGGATCACTTGAGGCCAGGAGTTCAAGACAAGTCTGATCAACGTCGCAAGACCCCATCTCTATTAAAAAAAAAAAAAAAAAGATTTAAAAAGTTATTTTAATAAATAAATTAAAAATTATTTTTCTTAAATCTTGGATGCTTGCTGTAATTTATCTTATGAAATTAACAAATAGTGCTTCAAAGATAGCAAAACCACCTTGGAAACAACTGATCATACTTAGTTTTATTATTTTTTTGGTAGATAGTTTGAGGTTGTGATTTTTATGTAGCATACTTATGGTAACCGTATTTGTTATTTATTACCTTGTTTTTTCTTGTTTATGTAATTAAATATATCAATATTTTATTATGTATTGTAATAAAAAGCACTGTGACTCCCAGGCATACTGTTAATCGAACAAGTGTGTTGTGGACTTAGATGATTTTCAGTTCCATTTACAAGGAGTATTTGATTTGGCATTTTCCCTGTCTTACACAGAACGGGAACTGCTCCAACCACACAGATATGCATGTGCTTGAGCGTGGTGCCTGGTGTGTATGAGGCATCCCCTGAGTAACAGATGCATGCTGGGAGAGTAATTTTTATTATTTATTTATTTATTTGTTTATTTTTAGTTTATCAGCCATAGGTTGGAGGCAACAGCTGGAAATGGCTTTTCCCCTTCAAGGTTGTAGGGAATGTGGGCTTGCCTGTGACAGGCCCAAGAGAGACAGAAGAAGTAACATCTTTGTCCACTCTGTCTGCCTTTGTTACAGATGAGACTGATCGTGGGGTTGACCAACAAGATGGAAAGAACCACGCAAGATCCCCTGGGTGCGAGGAGAGTGATGCCGGTAAAGAAAAGCTGCCAAAGATGAGACTGCCCACGCGCTCAGACATGATATGCGGCTATGCCTGCCTCAAAGGTACTTTGAGTTCCAAAAGAGTTGAGTCATACCTCATTTTATTGCACTTTACTTTATTATGCTTTGCAGATACAGGTTGAGTATGCCTTATCTGAAATGTTGGGACCAGAATTTTTTTGGTCCCAGATTTTGGATTTTTTTGTTTTTTTGGATTTTGGAATATTTGCATTATACTTACTAGTTGAGTGTCCCATATCCAAATATTCTAAATTTAAAATGCTCCAGTGAGCACCTTCTTTGAGCATCATGTTGGCACTTGGAAAGTTTCAGATTTTGAAGCATTTCAGATTTTTGGATTTGGGATGCTCAGCTGCTTTTTACAAATTGAAGGTTTGTGGCAGTCCTCCTTCAAGCGTCTAAAATCAGCACCATTTTTCTATTGGCGTGCCTCTGTTAGCATTTTTCAGCAATAAAGTATGTTTTAATTACAGCATATGCATTTTTTAGACATAATATTGTTGCACACTTAATAGACTGTAGGATAGTGACCGTAACTTCCATACACACTAGGAGACCTGAAAACTTGTATGACTTGTTTTATTGCCATATTCACTTTCTTGAGCTGGTCTGGAAACAGACCTACAGTATCTCCAAAGTATGCCAATAATTCAAAAGAGTGTACCCTCCTAGACTTGGATTCTTCATGTTGGGTTCTCTGTGGAGGGTGCAGGTGCCATGGCCGAGTCTAGTTTGGGAAGTCCAGCTGTGTGATGGCATTCACATTGTGATTAATGCCCTTTTGGTTGCAGGGACTGCCGCTATGCGGAACACCAAACGAGGTTCCTGGTACATCGAGGCCCTTGCTCAAGTGTTCTCTGAGCGGGCTTGTGATATGCACGTGGCCGACATGCTGGTTAAGGTGAGCCGGCGGGCTCCGTGACCCCTGTGCGTCTCCACAGTGCTCTACTTTCCTTCTCCCTTGAATGCTCTTTCATAGTCCGTCTCCCCTTCCCGTCGTGCTGCTCTCATGAAGCCCGAGATTCTCAGACTTGGGCCTTTTGGTTCTGCCCCTCCAGGTGAATGCACTTATCAAGGATCGGGAAGGCTATGCCCCTGGCACAGAGTTCCACCGGTGCAAGGAGATGTCTGAATACTGCAGCACTCTGTGCCGCCACCTCTACCTGTTCCCAGGACACCCTCCCACATGATGCCACCTCCCCATCATCCACGCCAAGTGGAAGCCACTGGACCACAGGAGGTGTGATAGAGCCTTTGATCTTCAGGATGCACAGTTTCTGTTCTGCCCCCTCAGGGATGTGGGAATCTCCCAGACTTGTTTCCTGTGCCCATCATCTCTGCCTTTGAGTGTGGGACTCCAGGCCAGCTCCTCTTCTGTGAAGCCCTCTGCCTGTAGAGCCAGCCTTGATCGGACCTATTGCCAGGAATGTTTCAGCTGCAGTTGAAGAGCCTGACAAGTGAAGTTGTAAACACAGTGTCATTTTGGGGAGAGGGCATATAACTTCCCCGTATTTGTGTTCAGTTCCAGCTTTTGTAGATGGCACTTTAGTAATTGCTTTTATTACATTAGTTGAAGATGTCTGAGAGATCATCTCCTATGTTTTATTTCATTCATATCCCCCACCCTTTTTGTCCTAGAGTGAGAGTTTGGAAGGTGTACAGATTTAATGTAGACATTGTCTTTTGGCTCTGAAGAGGTAAACATGACTAGAGACACACTTTGCTGCGATGTGACTAGAGACACACCTTGCTGCAGTGTGCAGAAGCGGCCTGTGCGTTCCCTTCAGTACTGCAGGGCCCCCCAGTGGAAGGACACTCTTGTCTCGTTTGGGCTCAAGGCTCCACAGCCTGTCAGCCGACATTGCTTTGCATCTGTACCTTATTGATCTTTGCCCATGGAAGTCTCAAAGATCTTTCGTTGGTTGTTTCTCTGAGCTTTGTTACTGTAATGAGCCTCGTGGGGAGCATCAGAGAAGGCCAGGTGTGTTTCCCTAGACTCTATAACTCTCTCTCTCTCTCTCTCTCTCTCTCTCTCTCTCTCTCTTCCTGCTCTCTGCTTCAGTGTTAAACTCTACTTTGATATTATGTGGCCTTTATTTCAGTGCTATACGTGTCATTTTTCAATCTAGAAACCTTTATCCCTGCTTATCTGAAACTTCCCTGTTAAGACCTTTTAAAAAAAAAAAAAACTTCTTTCTTCCTCCAGTCTATTCTCCACATAACAGTAGTTTTGGTTTTTAATTTTTTTTTTTTTTTTTTTTTGGTTATTTGGTGTTTTTTGGTTTTTAAGGCAAGTTCTCACTATGTTTCTCAGACTGGTCTCGAACTCCTGGCCTCAAGCCATCCTCCCGCCTCAGCCTCTCAAATAGCTGGGACTACAGGTGTGAGCCACCACGCCTGGCCAGGTTTTGATTGTTTAAATATAAATCTGATTATGTCACCCCCCTGCTTAGAACCCTTCTGCTTTCTATTACACCTCACTTAAAATTTAAACTTCTCACCTTCGTTTATGAGAACTGGTTCTTGCCTTCCCCTTGAACCTCATTAAATGGTGATTTCTTGCTAAGCTCCAGCCCGAGTGGTCTCCTCGGCTTCTAATTTTATGCTCTTTCCTGCCCTCTTCCTTGGCCTTCTCATCTGTCCACCCCCACCACTCTTGACTCAGGTGGTGTCCTTATTCCTCAATTCTTGACCGTTCCTGGGCCCTTCAGTCCCTGAGCAGTCTACTCCTGTGTCTGTCACCACATCTTGTCTTTTCCCCTCATTGCACTTATTGCAGTTTATATGTATGCTACTTCTAGTTGTTCATTTCTGTCTCCCCTACCAGGCTGTAAATGAGGGCAGAAACCTTGTTTGTTTTATTCATCATCACGTACCAAGTGCTTGGCACATAGTGGGTCTTCAGTAAATGTTTGTTGAATAAAAGAGGGAAGAAGGCAAGCCAACCTTAGCTGCAATCCTACCTTTTGATAAAATGTTCCTTTTGACAATATACACAGATTATTATGTGTACTTTGTTTTTCCATGTGTTTTGCTTTTATCTGCTGGCATTTTTAGCTCCTTGAAGACATTTCATGTGTGAGATAACTTCCTTCACATCTCCCATGGTCCCTAGCAAAATGCTGGGCCTGTAGTAGTCAAGGTGCTCAATAAATATTTGTTTTGTGAGTTGGGTGGTTGGAAGCCTTGCTGCCAAGTCCTGCCTTTGGGTTGACATAGGATGGAAGTATTTGAGTGAGATAACCTTTCCACTCCCACTGCCAGGATTTTGTATTGCCATCAGGTGCCAAATAAATGCTCATATTTATTACTGTTATGTGCTCAATATCTGTTTCTGTAGATACTCAGTCCTCTGAAGTCCACAGATTTTGTTTCCTTAGCCCCTTACAGTGCAGCCTTCCTCACCACCTCACAAGGCACACCCAGACCTGAAAACCCCTTCTTATTTTGCTGCCATGGTCCTGTAAATATATGCAAGTGTGGGTCCATCTCAGTTGGCCTAGTCCTGGGATTTCTCATAGATGAAATGGAAGTCATTAGCAACCAGTGCTGGTTCTTGGTTACTTAGACTATGAGATGTAGGCTGCCATAACAGATTGGGCTGGAATAGAAGAATGCGAGAGTGAAGGTAGTAAAATTCCATTTCTTACCTGGTTGCATTTAAGGTCTTCTAGAGTGGGCATAGATTGTAGGAGAATTCTAGTGCAGCGTAGAAGAGATCAAAGCAATGAATTTGAGTAAGTTGGGATATTTTGGGGGTGCGTTGTATCTAAAGGATATGCCTGAGAGGTTAAGTGCAGGTGCAGATGGGCCATGGAAGTTTGCAAGAGATGGAATGTTCTGTAGGTATTTTCTACAGAAGTTTTAGTAGGAAACAAAACTTTTTTTTTAATTTTTTTAAATACCGGGTTTCACCATGTCAGCCAGGCTGGTCTTTAACTCCTGTCCTCAAGCGATCAGCTCGCTTTGGCCTCCCAAAGTGCTAGGATTATAGGTATGAGCCACCACACCCAGCCAGAAAGAAAACTTTTTTGTTTGGTAGGAAACAGCTGTGGGAGCTGGAAACATTGTTGAGTGATAGAAGGGAATGGCTGTCTAGGAAGAGCAGAAGGGGACCGAGGTGAGCTGAAGCACCTCGGCAAATAGAGCAGAATTTGGTACAGAACGCTGGAGACAAAAGGGCGTGAAAAATGGACTGAAACTGGTTGATTGTACTGCAAGAAAAACAACCGTGGGATAGCCTCAAGGAGGGATACAAAATCTAGGACAGGCGAAGAAATTATGGAAATAGTGGGAGTAAGATAAATACCCATTTTCAGGATAGGAAGGCTTTTCAGAGGTGTGATAATGTTTGAGAATTACAGAGCAGTATCTCTGAACTGGATTCCGTGTCCTCCCCACCCCCCAACCCCCTTGCCCTTGAATAAGGGTGTGAGGTTGAATTTCACAGCTCTGCTCCCTTCTGCTTACCTCTGCCAGAGGATTCTCTTCTAAAATTATCCCCCTCCCAGAGCTGGGGGCTGCCCTCTGCTGCCCTCCTCCATCCTGTTTCCTCTAATGGGGAAAGGAAAACAGGAAGAAAGAAAAACTGTAATATCAGACCAAAGCTGATTTTTTTTTTTAATTTTTAAAATTTTGTTCTATAAAATAGAGATGAGGTCTCACTATGTTGTCCATGCTGATCTCAAACACCTGGGTTCAAGTGATCCTCCTGCCTCGGCCTCCCAGAGTACTGGGATCACAGACATGAGCCACCGCACCCAATCAAAGCTGTGATATTATGAATGGTGCCGGGCTGCCCGGGCACAGTGGCTCGTGCCTGTAATCCCAGCACTTTGGGAAGCTGAGGCAGGTGGATCACCTGGGCTCAAGAGTCCGAGACCAGCCTGGGCAACATGGCAAAACCCCGTCTCTAAAAAATAAAGAATGGGCCAGGCACAGTAATACACACTATAGTCCCAGCTACTCAAGAGGCTAAGGAGAGAGGATTGCTTGAGCCCAGGAGTTGAAAACCAGCCTGAGCAACATAGTGAAACCCCATCTTAAAAAAAAAAAAAAAAAAAAAAAAAAGGGCAGGAGGAAAGGTGTCTAATCTGAGAAGGAGGAAGACAATAATAGCTACAACTGTTCTGAGAGGAGCTTTCCATTTCATCTTCCCCATGCTTCTGGGAAGGAGTCATTTTCCCTTTTGTTTTTGAAACAGTTTTGCTCTTGTCACCCAGGCTGTAGTGCAATGGCGCAATCTCAGCTCACTGCAACCTCTGCCTCCTGGGTTCAAACCATTCTCCTGCCTCAGCCTCCCAAGTAGCTGGGATTACAGGCACTCTCCACCACACCCAGCTAATTTTTGTATTTTTAGTAGAGACGGGGCTTCACCATGTTGCCCGTGCTGGTCTCGAACTCCTGAGCTCAGGTGATTCACCCGCCTCAGCCTCCCAAAGTGCTGGGATTACAGGCGTGAACCACTGCGCCTGTCCACAAATGTAGCTTTAATGGTATGGACTCTAGAATTCAGTAGATCTGATTTTGAGTGCTGGGTCTGCCTTTGAAGATATTGGAGACCTTGATCAAGGTAGCTAACACAGCCCCTATTTCCCTTATTTAAAAATTAGGAATATTGCGTCTACCTTCCAATGTCCCCATGAGGATTAAATGTGACGATGCATGTAAATCACATGTTGTTAATGCATAAAGATGCTTGATAAATGTTAACTCACAGAATGAGCTTCAGTTTAATATGAGTGAACGGTTCTTACTATTAGTCAAACACTATAGCACGTTTTTGTTTTGTTTTGTTTGAGACGGAGTCTGTCGCGAGGCTGGAGTGCAGTGGCGTGATCTCAGCTCACTGCAATCTCCGCCTCCTGGGTTCAAGTGATTCTCCTACCTCAGCCTCCTGAGTAGCTGGGATTGCAAGCACATGCCACCACGCCCAGCTAATTTTTGTATTTTTAGTAGAGACGGGATTTCACCATGTTGGCCAGGATGGTCTGGATCTCTTGACCTCGTTATCCACCTGCCTCGGCCTCCCAAAGTGCTGGGATTACAGGCGTGATCCACCACGCCCGGCCTATAGCATGTTTTTTGCATGCGTTATTTTATCTTCTTAACCCTCTAGTTACTGCCTTTCTGAGGAAACTGAGGTCAGAATGTGAAACCGAAGCTGTCAGTTTGAGCATATGCTAACAGCCTTGCTTCTGTGACTTATTCTGGCATGAAGGATTTTTCCTCCTCACTTTTTTTTGGGCTGTAAGATTCCTCCCATTAGGCTGGGGGAATGAAACTGAGACCCAAAACCTTATTCCATCTTAAGTCATAATTAGGTAGGAGTTTGGGGAAAAAATGTATCATGTTTGAAAAGCCAGAAGGGGGAGAAAGAGACCTGTCGAATACTACAGGGAAAGCCTGAGTGCAGAGGATGGGAAAGGACTAAGGATGCTCAAAAGAATGAGGCGGCTGGCTGGGCGCGGTGGCTCACGCCTGTAATCCCAGCACTTTGGGAGGCTAAGGCGGGTGGATCACGAGGTCAGGAGATTGAGACCATCCTGGCTAACACGGTGAAATCCTGTCTCTACTAAAAATACAAAAAATTAGCCGGGTGTGGTGGGGGGCGCCTGTAGTCCCAGCTACTCGGGAGGCTGAGGCAGGAGAATGGCATGACCCGGGAAGTGGAGCTTGCAGTGAGCAGAGATCGTGCCACTGCACTCAAGCCTGGGTGACAGAGCGAGACTCCGTCTCAAAAAAAAAAAAAAAAAAGAATAAGGAGGCAAGGCACAATAAAGAGGAGAGGAGACATGACCACCAGTGGAGTGCACTACAGAGAAAGTGTCTTCAGAGGAAGCTGTAGCTTAGCTGAAATTTCAGAAAGTAGGTGGCCATGGGTTCCATGGCTGCCTGATACGCAGAGGGAAAATGATGACTGAAAACACCTTTAAAGAGCGTAAGGGTTTTACTGCCCAGTATGTTGGGGAGGCCAGACTGGAAGACGTGAGATTCTGAAAACAAGGGTGTAGCCTGGAAAGAAAATGCATTCACCTATACCCAACACAAAACTTCTCCTCCATGTATCCTGTATGGCAACTTTGGACAATTTTCTTTCAAATAGCAATTCCATAAGCCTACGGACTTTTAAACTTTTTGTATAATGGACCCTAGGATGATCTATTTAAAACCCCAAAAGAGGCCGGGTGCAGTGGCTCACGCCTGTAATCCCAACAACTTTGGGAGGCCAAGGTGGGCAGATCACCTGAGGTCAGGCGTTCAGGACCAGCCTGGCCAACATGGTGAAACCCGTCTCTACAAAAATACAAAAATTAGCTGGACATGACGATGAGTGCCTGTAATCCCAGCTACTCGGGAGGCTGAGGTGAGAGAATTGCTTGAACCCAGGAGGAGGAGGTTGCACTGAGCAGAGATCGTGCCACTGCACTCCAGCCTGGGTGACAGTGAGACTCCATCTCAAAAAATAAGTAAATAAAATAAACCCCGACAGAATATCTATCATTTATGCATGCTTATGAATTTGCTTCCACATTCAGGAGCTTCATAGGAATTCCCGGAAGCCCATCTTTGTGCCTCCAAATAAGAACCTAAGCTTCTAGGCCCAGCGGAGTGATGGAGTGAGGAGTGGGCATGGTTTACATTTTCTTTTCTTGTTCTCTTGCAGGGATTTAAACCCATGGGATTTAAACTATTCCTAATTTCAAACACAGGATATTTACTCTCAAACCCTTGTCCTCCAGCACTGGCAGCCTGTAGATGTCTTTGACCCTCCTAATTTCAGAATCTGGTTTTAAGAATTGCAGTTGGTGCTTTCCTTCTAGACCACACACTTCCACTCAGCTTGGCTGAATGTGAGTACTTTCCTCACTCCACTGGTCTCTGCCTTCAAATCTCAGAGTCCATGACTAGGCTGCTCTGTTTTAGGGACCTGCCTTTCTCAGAAATAGTAAGCAAATCATAATTGCATCTCATATTTGCTGCTTATATTTATCAAGTTCCGACAGCAACTGATTACCTTCAGGAGAGCTATACTCCACAAACAGGGGAGAATCTTGTTTCTGAAGCCCTCCAAGGAATACAATGTTACCTTGGCACTCTATTTTTTTTTTCTTCATGCAACAATGTGTTTTGTTATGTCTGCGGTTTTAAAATTATTTCTTGAATCTCTCCATACACAGGCAAAAATAAGTGTGCTGTTTAACATACTGGAACTTGCCTAACTTAATCATTGCCTAGAGAAGGGAAAATTATCCCCAAAACGTGGTTAACCAGGAGGCCGGTGCATCTGCTGACCTCCAAGAATATGGAGAT